GTGGCAGTGTGTGTTTTCTTTATGTCACTATATGGGGACATTTTTCTTGTTTCAAAGAATATGAGTTAGACATATTCTTTTTATGGCAAGTATAGATTTTCTGCATTTGAAGTCAAGATGTCATCTCCAGGTCCTTTCATTATTCCTGTACTCTCTGATCAAGGTCTATTATAATCATGTCTTCATTAACGATTTCCTGTATCTTTGCTAGGGAAGGTTTCTGGATCATTTTCATAAGCAAAAGGCTGTAAAAATTACCTTTTCAGCTTTTAGATCTACTAGAAAGATGTTATCCTATTGTTGTTTTGGCCAGATCTTGTTATAATTTCAGTCAAATTTTTATTCTTTTTGGTAACCACGTACCTAAAAATTGAAATCCAATTATTTAATCCATGAGAGGGAAATTAATGAAAATTTCAGAGACAAAGCATTGATATCAAGTTTGTTATATATGACTAGACAGGAAGGAATTTATTCTGCAAGTCATCGATTTATTGCACACTTTATTATTATCTTTCATTTTATGTGTCATCATTTCAATCTTTAGATTGAAAGTAATGTTAATCGTGAGTTCTCCTATTGTGAGGTTGGATAAGCACACATGAGAAGTTATTACAGGAAAGTAACAGCATTATAAAAGATTTTCTTTTCCACCACTCATTCGATGTTCATTTGCCATGGGCTCACAATTTGCAAGGTAGAAAATTCCATTAGCTATCACATATTCCCATCTGGACGTGACTAGAGCAGAGTTGCTGGGCCAGATGGTCAGGCCCAGAGTTTCTGGTTTAAGAAGCAAGCATCCAGGCCACAGTGACTCTTCTTGGAATGAGTGGATTTGAGGGAGAGGGAGTGTGGCCTCCACCAGAGTCCACAGCCACTGAAGAAGCCCAGATTTTGTTACAGAAAGTCCATGATTGGACCAGAGGAGAGTCATGTTGGTATCCGTTCTCTGAGATTCAGTTTCCAAATACACAAAAAGAAAGTGATAACTACTACCCTATCTAGCCGATAACTTAATATGTTTTCTCTATGAAAAAGACTATTTTGGAGCAAATAAAGACAGACCTGGAAACTATGTATCTCTTTGTTTTATTTGTTGCCTTACACATACACATTCAGTTTCATCCTGGAGGGAAATAATGAAAAAAATACTTAATTTACAAAAGATACCCTTCAACACCAACCACCCTGTCTGTCTTTCTCATCTGCTTTTTACTACTACTTCTACACACATATGACCATACTTAGTAAGGAGCAGACAACTTCATTTCTTTTCTCTATAAACATATGTTTCCGTGAAGTCCTTCAAGAAGCTTGGTCTGAGCTCCGTTGCCATGACTACTTTCCCATACCAAACTCCCCAACATCTTTCTCAGGCAGTTGCCACCAAAGAATAGTCTCCGCCTCAGACAGCCCTCTGAAGACACAGAACTACATGAACTAATTCGTGTTCATGGGAAGGCAGTTTCTTCTAAAGCCGGCCCCTAGTTACTTGTCACTGTGTGGTTTTAGTTTGTTTGTTTTCTGGTTTTAGGGAGAAAAACTGAATCAAGGGGAATGGTGACTGATGCTTTCTTTACATAGTGGAACCCTGTGGAAATATGGGGAATATTCTTGGTCACTGAAGCTCTCACTCACATGGATGAGAATGGTATTGGCAGCACTGTTGACAAGTTTAGTAGAATGAAAAATGAGGAACAACTCACGACATATGGTACAGTTATTGTTAGAGAAAGACTTCTCAGGGGTTCATGTGAGACTAGCATTTCCGTTAGCCATCTGACTCTAGACTGCTCATTTCCAGTTACTTTCAATATCTTCCTTATCTGGACTCTCAAACATTTCAGGCTGTTATATTTCATTTTGTGATTTTTGTTTGTCTGTTTTTTCCCTTTCATTGAGATAAGTGCCATTTTGTCTTACTTCTAGAACATAAAGTTCCAAGAAAATCTACTCTAATAAAATGAACATTGAACTGAAAGTTACGAGACACTGCTTTTACTGTTTCCTTACTCCTTTAAATCAAAAGGACAAGTTGTAAACTACTTTAAAAAATGTGATCTTCTATGCTACAGCCTCCTTGGTCCTCAGAAAACATAAAAGGAACAGATTTACAAACACTTCGAGCAAATTGCCTGTAGAATTTTAAGGATAGGAAGTGGAAAAAAATGTAACATCCACCCTCAGACATTTCATGCAACATGTAGGATAAACAGGTCCAATAATTCCAAACACTCAAGTGGCCTTTAGGAAAGAATTTAAAAAATGATAATGTGATGAATAAATAAATAAATCCTTCAAACAGGTAGAATTAACTGTGACCACCCTGTCCCCCAAAATGTGGTTCCCATTTTGTCTGAAGGGGAGTTCTTTGAATGTAGATCAATTCTGCTACTTGTGTAGATATAGTGAAAAAGAAGCATTATGTCACACAGATACACTTCTTTGCTTGGTTGGTTGTTTGGTTTTCCAGACAGGGTGTCTTTGTGTAGCCTTGACTGTTCTGGAACTCACAGTGTAGAGACTGGCCTCGAACTCAGAGAGATCCATCTGCCTCTGCCTCCTGAATGCTGGGTTTAAAGGCATGCACCACCAATGTCCAAGATATACTTCTTAAACCTTAAGAGGAATACAATGCTATGGAGATTTGAGTCTTGATATCTGAGTGGAAAATGAGATTCACAAGCCCCTGGGTAATGCTCACTTGCCTTGGGCTATGCATCCGCTGGTCTCCGAGCCACAGCTGGTGTACAGTCCTTGGTGGTAGTTTTCTGGTCCTTATGTCTCTTAAACAGTTGTTTTCAGTTATGGATAATTTTGACTCCACAAGATTTCGGCAGTGTTTACAGATAATGTTGATTGTCATAACCCACAAAATGCCATTAGCATAATGTGCATTAGAACCATTACTAAGCACCTTTCAGCACAGCTCCTTATGACAAAATTGCCTGTAGTGCCTTGGTTGAGAAAGGCACTACTGTGTTTGTTTGTTTGTTGCTTTGGTTTGTTTTTTTTTTTTTTTTTTTTTTTGGTTTTTCGAGACAGAGTTTCTCTGCATAGCTTTGGAGCCTGTCCTGGAACTCACTCTGTAGACCAGAGTGGCCTCAAACTCACAGAGATCCGCCTGCCTCTGTCTTCCAAGTGCTGGGATTAAAGGCGTGGGCCACCACTGCTCAGCATTTGTTTGTTTGTTTGTTTGTTTGTTTGTTTGAGAAAAACCACATTGTGGAGGCAATATTTTGTGTATGTCTTCATGTGAAAGAAATAATCTGTTGAAACTGTTCAAAATATCAAAAGAAAGGTTAAGCGCATGAACTAGAAGCTTGCCGCTGAGGGTGAGCACTGTTTAAAATGACCTCCCAGCATCTAAAAGAGGATGTTGGGGATGATAGCCAGCTGTGCTCCATCGCCCTAGAGGACTGAAGAGGAAATGTACATAAAAGGACCTGTCCTGGCCGTCTACACTTTGTGTACTTCCTTCATGCCAGCCAGGAAGACTGCTTCTTTAATCACACAACCATATTTGTCCTGTGTGTCTTACTATGCTCAGAGACCCTCCCAAATCCTGGGTAAAAATTTTCTTCTCGATGCCAAGTCCCGTCTCCCCCTTACCTTTGAACATTCAAAAGTCTGCTTTTGCTAGGATGGAATGGCTGTCAGTGCCTCTCCAGCCACAGCTGGCACCCTTCCCTCTTAAACATGTTCTCTTTTGGACTATAAACATGTTACTGGCCATCTGTGTAAGAGGAATTGGGCCAGATTTTTATAAAGGATAAAAAGAAGAGTAAGTCCTCAGTTTTAAGACTTTTCTAGTCTAACAGGGAAATCTACAGTAGATAATAATAGAAATAATATTTAACATTTATCTTGGTAAGAACTTTCTTTCAAAATCGAAGACGAGGTTTTAGGAATTAGAAGATAAAGAAAACCTATGTAGACAGATCTGCAAGAGGAAAGAACGTTTGTTTTCCTTTGGAAGTATTTTTTTTTTTTTTTTTGGTTTTTCAAGATAGGGTTTCTCTGTATTGTTTTGGAGGCTGTCCTGGACTCACTCTGTAGACCAAGCTGGCCTAGAATTCACAGAGATCCTCTTGCCTCTGCCTCCCGAGTGCTGGGATTAAAGGCGTGCACCACCAATGCCTGGCAAAAGGTCATAATCTTTGAGAAGGGTTGCTGGTTACATTTAGGATGGGATATTGAAACTTATAAGTCTATTTTTCCAAACTATGACCAAATGAGGAATTTGGTACTTTCCATCAGAGCTTGTGATTTCAGAACTAATGTACATAGTCACCATCACCCTCCTTGTAAAACTTTTCTTTTACCTGGATCATAGAGAAATTAAAGAGATAAGCTCTCATGGTATATATAATGTGTACCAGGTATGGACTAATGAGAATATTATGTAATTCATTCCAAAAAGTTTGTGAGTTTATCACAGTCAACGCTGTTGCAAGGAGGATTTTTTGTATTAGTACAAACTTCCATCAACTGCTTATTTCTGCAGAAGAAACAGAACTTCTCTGAGACTTGCCCAGGAAGCCATGCCTGAGTGGAAGCCATCCTCTCGGGCATTTCCTTTCAGAAACAGAACAGAGAAAGCTACTGCCAAGGAGGCTTAAATGCAACTACTAGCATCTTCAGAACTTGTAGTAGGGAAAGGATACTGTTTAAAATTACCAAGATCACATTTTACTGTAGGGATCACTTCTGGGAAAGTATGTGCAAACTCATTAGTCATTTTTAATTTCTGTGACTCCTACTCCATCCTGGGAATGGTACAGATATTAATTTCCAAACATTTAAACATTTAAAAAAAGCTATCCTGTAGGTGCTCAATGAGCAACCAGAACCTTTTTTGAGTTCTCATTGTCTTCAGTTTCGATTGTTCTTTTTCACAGCCTTCATTGGCAACCCTAAGAATGACTTGCATAATCCCATACATGCTGTGTTGTCAGTTAACCTTGTGTAACTGGGCTTTCTTTCCCCTCTCAAAGTTATTCTAGGCTTCTGCATATCCTTCAACGTTGATGTGAAAAATTCAATGAGTTTCAGTGGCCCAGTGGAAGACATGTTTGGATACACCGTTCAACAATATGAAAATGAAGAAGGAAAATGGTAAGTGGACTCTGGTGTTGTCTGATTCTTTTATACAAAAAATGGAAAATATTTCAGCTGGTTTTATGAATGGAAAATTAACTGAATGACTCATTTGTGCTAGGAAAACGTATTCTAGTAGGTTGGTGATGTAAGCTGACGTGAAGTTAAAGAAACAGCCTTCCTTGGAATTTTAGAAGAAGTGGTTACAAATTTCTGCTGGTTCATTACTGGACTGACCTCAAGGAAGCTTCTTATTCCAGTATTCTGTCACTGTGCTGCTTTAACAAGTGTTCCTGGATTGTTCCTATTCTAGAGTTACTTGAATACTTGACTGGCATTCATGATGAAGGATGTGGTAGGAGATGAGATGCCCAGAGAGGGTTACTATTACTTTAGTTGCTGGGAGCCTAGGTTTTTGGTACTCTGGTGATAAACTAAGATTTGTCTATGGATGACAGTGAACCACACTGAATTGCTAACACACTTTAATATTGTGACGCTTTGATTAACTTCATTTTAGATCAAAATTTTAGAGTATGTTTAATTTTTAACAATCTCACAAAATTAATAGTAGAGACCTTTTACTTTTCATTCTACCTAACTAAAGTCAAAACAGATTTCTAAAACTGTATATTATAGAACTAAGTATGAGTTAGTTAAGACTTCCCTCTGTTTCCAAATCTCAAAAGCCCATGTTTCTCCTAGGAAAAGAGACTTGTATTATCTAGGGATGACAGTGACATGCCAGTGCACAATTATTATTTCACAGAAGAAAATGTACATTTTGATTTCTTTTTTAGACTTTTACAATTTGATAGTAATCTCTTAAAGACTATCAAAACTAATAATTTGAGTTCTTAAGTCTTCTAAGCGTTACTATTGTATTCTAAGTATACATGATCATTTATGAGAAATTTAGCAATATTTTTATGAAGTTTCACATCCTCTGCCCACCTTTCCCATACTCACCATACCCCCATGTTTTGTTTAATGTTACACAAAGCCATCCTTTTAGATAGCAGACACCAGTTATGCTCTTTCTGAACTTGCACCTGAAGTTCAAGGAGCTCAACCCATGGGGGGAATTGGTGAGCGGGCCAATTATCCAGCTTCTTTTGGCTATGCAGAAAACACATGTAAAAGTCAAATTTTACTTGTTACTAATAGACACGTGGGTTTAAAGACAACTGTAATAAACAGTGAGCTTTGAAGAGTTAAAGCACAAATGACAATCAGATGCTAAGAAAAATTCTTATAAAATTTCTCTTGAATTTTATTATATTGTTTTGCATAATCCTCCATATGACAGAAAACTGTAAGTCCCCCCCCCATAGAGTTGGCTCCCTGATTTTGGAGAAAATTGGCATCAGAAGTCCTTCATTTGTATTTTTCCTTACCTTATTGGAGCCATCTGACCTTTTTTGGCTCTGTCTCACATGTTTGAATTAAATTTTTTCATTTATTTTACATCCCAAGAACAGTCTCTCCTCTGTCCCCCCACCTCCCCTCTGCCCCGCCCCATCTACTCCTCTGTTCAGAAACCAGCAGGCCTACCATGGGTGTCAACCAAACATGGCATATCAAGTTGAGATAGGACTTTAAGAGCTCATCCTAGTATACAGAAAGTCCTCTTTCTGTATGAAACCAGAAGGTCAAGGGTTAAGAAACTAAGTCAGTACTGAGTGAGACCTTGATGCATCTCATTCCCAGTCATCCTGTCTTGGCAGAGGTGAAGGTCTACACAGGACAGAACAATGAATGCAGAGATTGACTAGAAAACCAGACTTGCAAAACAAATGTTGCTAAGTGTATGTCTGAATGAAGTCATATTGAGCTGAACTTTAAGCAGACTGTTAATTCTAGAGACATTAGGGAGACAATAACAAAAGCTCAATCTTTTCTTACTTGTGAGACCATGCCCTTACAAGTCCTGCTTCACACATTAAATGCAGCTTAGTTCTCTTTACAAGTGGTTTTGTAAAGATTAAGACCTTTTCTTTAACAATAGCACAAATTAGTATCTATCAAGAAGCAAATATATCCTACATATACAGCAGTGTTCTAATTCTATGGGAAACAAAATATTAAAAAAATGTAGAAGTTTACAGTCTAGAAAGTGTATATGAAACAACTAAGAACCAACAATAGTGCCAAGCAGTATGGAACATACTGTGAGCTCCTTGGGAGTTCAGGAAGAAGAAAGTGGTTCCTCACTTGTTATCCGAGTCTTGAAAGATGACTTGGATAAGAGGAAAGTCACTCCAAGCTAGGGATTCACATAAGTAAAGGTAAACCTTCGAAGAAGAATAACAGATCTTAGAACCCAAAACAAAGCATGGAGAAACCACTAGAGGTTGTTTCATTATTGTAATTTAGAAAATTAATGTAGATCTGACTAGATTGCCTACAAATTTGGAAATCTGCCCGCAAGCAAAAATCCAATTTAGTCCTTAAGAAATGAGACTCTATAGGCTCTACTTGGACAGCCTGGAGTCTTAGCACTTGAGACATGGAAATGGGGAGACAATGAGTTAAGGGTCATTCTCCTTTACATAGGGAGTTCAAGGCCCACCTGAACTACTTGAAACATGATTTCAAAAGAAAATCCAAACAAAGCAATAAAAAATAAAAAAGCCAAAAAAGAGAGATGACTCTAAAGAGACCAAAGCACTGGTGCTGTAGAAAGATGTTTGGACTTCTGTAAGTGTTTATAAAATTAGAGAGATCACAGGCTTTCTCTGGGAAATACACTATAGGATAACTGACATACTTTGGAGAATGTGGATTCTGCTGTTTTAATTTTATTCCGGGGTGAACATCTTTTTTTGGGGGGGGGTTTACGAGACAGGGTTTCTCTGTATTGTTTTGGAGGCTGTTGGTCCAGCCCGGCCTCGAACTCACAGAGATCCACCTGCCTCTGCCTCCCGAGTGCTGGGATTAAAGGCATGTGACACCACCGCCCGGCCAGGAGTGACCATCTTAATAAGTGTTTACTGCCCATATTTTAGAAACTTGTCCAATTTAGGTCAAAAAGAAAAACCCATTCTGATTTGTCTTACCTCTTGGCTACACCATGCCTAAAGAAGGAAGGAGTTCTTGTTGGGTCACACTGTACGTGTGTCCCCTGTGTTTGCAAAACATCGCTTAAATTCTTTGGAAAGAATCAAAACAACACTAAAGTAGCTTTATGTGCCCTTTACTTCTCAGGAGTTTACTGTCAAGTGTAAATTTACTTTATGACTTTTGCCCAGAAGTCATGCTTTCTCGGTAACAGAACGCATCATACCTCTGATTAAGATGGGTGTTGCCCATCATGACTAGCATGAGCTGCAGCATCCAGGGGACTGCAATGCAGTTCAGAAGAACCCACAAGAGCATAGTTGCCCTAATAGTTTCAACTTGAAGAAAATCAATTAAACAACACACAGCCCAGCACAAGCTTTCAGGAAAACACAAGATGTGGTTTGGGACTTTCCACTACTGTCTCTTGATCCTTTCTTTCTCCTGCATTGAACTTTTTAATGGCTGTCCAGGCTACCTTGGAGGCTTCCATGACTTCCCTGGACATGTTCTCCCCCAGTAGATGTCAGTTGGTAGATAAATAAATTCCCCCAAATCCAGTTCTCAACGCAATATGAGTCAAAACTCTGCTGTCTTTTGATAACGTTACCTGCCTCCCCAGAGGACTCTAGATTGTGCTAGGAAAGTGAATCATGGCTTGTGTAACTGATGTTCTGTGTCCAGTATGTGTATCTTTTATATAAAACTTATTCAAGCTCAAAGGAAGAAGACTTCCTAAAGTTCTCTTATAGAGTTTAGCATAGCACTTACTTTACATTGTTTATGATGCCTTCAAAAACTGACATACCCTCTCTGGCAAAATTGTCTTTTTTTTTAAAAAACTCATTTCACTTACAGCCTTCTGGTTTTTTTTTTCTTATCAAAATCAGTATAACAGGGCACAAGTTTCACTTTGGGGACCACTAAATAGTTACTCTATTCATAAAAGAAAAAAAAAACAAACAGGCTGACAAAAGTTATGACAGTCTGAGAGTGACTTTGGTTGGTTCTATTGGACATCAATAAAGAGGTAGGTTGAAAGGAGTGTTATTGAATAATGTAAATATGGAAAAACCCTCTACAGGATATTTTCCTATAGAGTGATATCAGTCATCACTTTCTCTTCAAGGAAGTACAGCCAAGGTCCCAGTAACAAAAATGACAAGTATGAATAGCCCATTTTATCCCAGATCACTAAATTTTTTATTATGACTGGAACTTGTACATGGAGAAAAGTCATGTTATCTAGCTTTAGTGATTTCTCTAGAGATTAGTAATGATATCCAAAACATTTTTTCTCTTCACCTACAGACAATATATTTCAAAAATGTTGTATTTAAAACCAGAATTTAGGCTGAACATGGCAGTGCACTCCTTTAATCCCAGCACCTAGGAGGCAGAAGGTTGAAGATCTCTGGGAATTGGAAGCCAGCCTGGTCTACATAGCAAGTTCCAGAATAGCTAGGGCTTTAGAATGAACGTCTCTCAAATCAAAGGCAAAAACAACAAATAAATGAATAGAGATAAAAGTGTGATGAGTCAACTTGACTGAAAGTTTCAATAGTAAAGAGTACATTTCGTGAGATACCGTGACTTGTGCTCACACTGACCCTGTGAGCTTAGCCAGATGTCCCTGTCATCCTTATCTCATTGACAGGAAACTGAGACACAGAGTAGATGGCCACAGGGTGTACATAGTAAGCCCGTGACAAGGCAAGGATGTGAAGCAATATCCTAGAATGTTCTACCAGTTTTCTCCTTCTAAGAAGTACTCTCTAGAAACACGAACTGATGAAATGCCTTCTGTGACCCAAAGTCCTGTAAGAACATTCTAGAAGCAAAATATCCCCTAAAATGGTAAACAGGGCAAAAACAATTTCAATCCAAGGATCTCAGTTGTTCATAAAACATAAAATCAGGTCTCACTTGCTTTAATTCATTATTCTCATTTAAATTCC